TTGCCTCTTGCAAATAGATGGCTCTTGGTGGCTCAACTAGCAGCTGAATACAATACAGATCCAAAGACAAGTGTATACAAGTACACATTTCAGCGTACTCTAATAGATATAGGATTTCTTAACAAACACCCCCTCTAATATGTTTCTGTTAACATCGTATCATACATATTTATGACTACCAGGACCGTGAAAATCGTGATAAAACCATGCAATAATGGAAAAGAGTTGCGTGGCTGGATAAATCACGAATTTTTTTTACATCAAATTGATGATCACATCAGAGTATGTAGTTCTTTAGGTGAACAGTTGATCAATACACGATAGGCATTCATCAACAACAGTATGGAAAAGACCATTGGTAGAGGTAGTATGCTTTAGGACCGGTGGCTTTATCAGAACGGTGTGATTACAGCTGCGGATTATGTAAAAAACTTTGCTGACGAGTTACAATCTTTTGTGGCTTCTCCCCCAGCAGGTATGGACTCTTTCAGTGAGACAATTCTGCGTATTATAAGTAAAAACTGTGTTAGTGATTTGAACATTATTACTGAAGACCATATTAATGAATGCCAGTTAATATCCTAGCCTCCTAACTCACCAAACTTTAATTCTAATGAGCACATATTTTAATCCTCTCACCCCTGTTCCACTAACACCAAACCACACTAAACGACGTTCGGCTCATCGTATGTTTAGAGTGCCTCAATGCCGCAAAGACACTATATATTTACAACATCCATGCTTTCTCTGGGATTCTAATCCAGGCACTTCGGTACGTTCGTCAGGGTTACTAACCACTATTCCGTTCGGTGGCAGATAAGAAGATATATGCAATGCATAATTAATGCCTACAATAAATATCGTTTCAGGATGCACTTCTAAATATTGGTTTAGCTAAATAAATTGTGTGGTTCACGAAACCAGCGCACATTTTAAACTGCCAAGTGCAGGAATTGGACGACGCGGCTTTACCACATAAATTAACGAAATTTTTTATACACAGTATTATTTTTATACAGCATTATTCATAATTCCATGATACATTTTAAAAAATCATAATAAATAAGCTATCAAATTTTATTTCCTAAAATAGAAGAAAACTCGCAGCTTTTTATTATAACAAATAGTTAATGAGTTCACTTTTCCTCATACTGTAGAACATCAATGCGATAAACCACTACGTCCCCTAAATTATTCGTGCCAATGAAAGCCGTTTCGTGCCACATCATCAACGAAACGGCTGCGATGATCCTGAGTAGGCAGTTCAGGTACAAATATTCTGGACACCGCCCATGCGCAAGAAGTCACATGATACTAAATCCGAAGACTGGAGTGGACGCCACGTTAATACATCATCTCTTTGTCCTATGCGTCCATCTAAGTGGCAAATTTTTATTCAGATACCCCCTTTATCAAGTAGTTTATGTGACAATGTTCCAGATAAATGTTTTAATTAAAAGAAGTAATTATTGTTTTTCGTTCAACTATAGATTCAATCACCTTTTTAATACGTCTAAATAAAGCATCTCAGTGTTGCACAGTCCATATGTATCAGCAAATATGGACACATTAAGCGTTTATGAAATATGATAAGAAAACACTTCATGAATTTACCTCTATTTCAGTACATTAAAGTCTAGTATCGGTGATGTGATTTATTTGATACGAATTTTTAAAATGCCTCACGAGTTTATGAATAACTCTGATTCCCCTCCTTTTCACAATGTATATGACTTTCAGAAATTTCCAGTCATCCAAATAAAAATTCCATTCCAAATAAAAAAGCTGTACACGGTTAACGAAATTTTTTGTTTTAGAGACTGTAAACCTCCAAAGGAAAGGATTAACAATCTAAACATTTTTAGCTACGTGTGATCTTATCTTAGACAACCTTAGTTGTACTTAGCGATTAAAAATGTTAAAATTTCACTTAGATAGAAATACTAAAATAAATTGTATTGCAACACGAGATACGAAGCTAATGATATAGTTTTCGATTTCGGGACCTTTCGTTATGCAGAGAAAAATAATTTGAAAAGTAGACTTGTGATAAAATTAAACTATTTTTACCAGAAAATATTTTCATCTTCAAATTAAAAAACAATTTCAGTATATGAACTAGTTGATTAATATTAATTTTTAAATTCCTACTATTAGCTCACATTCTCCCTATATCTTTTTCAAATTTTCAGTTATTAATAAAATACTTTTTATTCATCCATTTAAGTTCAAATGCATTTATTTAAACTGTAGTGATGACACTGATGTTAACACAGTTTTATCACATATTAAAAATTTTTTTTTTTTTTTTTTGTATTATTAAAATTTTTCTTTGTTGACCTAATTAGGAATTGACTTTAAAATTTTTTAATTAATTATTAATTAATTATTTCAATCGTTAATAAAATACTTTTATTCGTATTGAAGTTGAAATACATTTTTTAAATTTGTAGTGGATGACAATTAATGTTAATACAGTTTTTTCACATATTAAACATTTTCAAAATTTTAAATTTAAATTTTTTTTGGTAGTTTAAATTTTTTTTAAACTTTTCTTTGTTGACCTAAGTAAGAATTGACTTTTAAAAACTTTTTTTATAATACTTGTTTTATTTTAATTTTCATGAAGCACTAATATGAGTTCACGGCGATATGAAAAATTTTCTTTTCCAACAAAACCTTAATTCGGAGAGAACAAACAAAAACTATTTCAACCATCTGGGAAGAAAAACAGAAATATACACTTATTGGAAAGTTGTTTTGCCACCGAGTGAAAAAAAAATAATTTTTAATATGTTACTTACTTATTTAATATGTTAATTAATTATTTATTATCAAAGTTTTGAATTTTAATTGTAACAGACCCGAAAAGAATTAATTCTAAAGACTACTAACGCAAAAATTTTCTCCCTTTCCAGCGAAACCATTTTCTTCGAAATCGACAGTTAAAAATTAATTCAACTGACTTAAGAAAGTCTCACAATGAGAGACACTGTTTTTAGAAAACACTGTCATTATTGTTCCATCCTAAAGCCAACTTTAATAAATCTCCATCTAAACTTTTTTAATGTCAGACGTTAATGACGTCGTCATTAACATCTGATAAAAGCAACTATTCTGTTATTAATAAAAAAATACACTAGATAAAACAAGAATCCTTGCTTTTCGAATGTGTTAATTAACTGACAACTGCTACGTTTCTCTAGAGGAGAACATTTCATCTTCATGGAATTGCAAAACGGTAACTCTTTTTTTTTTTTTTTTCTGTTGCATCTTTCTTTAAAGAAGTATTTCAGTGAATATTCGTTCTCGCATGAAAACAAAAACACTAACACATTCTAGAGGAGTTTATAATCCGTAAATTTTAGAAATATTTTACAGCCGCTAGAAAAAAGAAGTAAGCATACAAATATGAAAAATCTGTGAAAAACAAAGATACATTATTGAAATAAAATTTATACATTGCTAATTCAGATGTAAACACATTATTTCACTTTACTTCGAGCTCAAAGTATGGAATGCACTTTCGACTGCTAAGTGTTTTTCCGATTGAAATGTAAATACAGTTCAGTTTTCTTTGTAGAATCCTATACGAAAACAATCTGTCCATTAGGTAAATAGCCCTCGATTGTAATTAACTATATTTTCGCATTCAGCTACTAGAAAGTTTATCTTTTTAACTGATTTTATGGACAACTGAACTGAGAGGTATTGAGGGAGATTATATTATGTACATAACTATTGAATATCTGTATAATGGTCATCTTAATTCACATGACATGATGTATTAATCATTAATACTAATTATTGACTTAACAGACAAGTAACATCCATGCGCAATCATGGTCAATGTGATCAAATAATACGCAAATATTCCAGAAAGTACTTAGTAAGTAATTGTAATAAAAATATTGTAATTAAAGACAATGTCTTACCCTGAAGTTTCAACTCCCTTTGGAAAATAAACTTATATTTCAATTGGTAATAAAAAAGACCTGATGCGCGCGTACAAGCTAAAATAACAACAATAAATAGTTTCTAACAAACGTAGAACAACAACAACAAAGTTTTTAACAAACACCGGTCTTCCTTCCAAAGACCAGAATAATTATGCAAGCATAATATTTAAGCAGCTAAAATATTTGAATTTCTTTCACGTAAAAATTCCTTTTTCCTCTTAGGATAATTTCGATATAATCAAATTTGATATTGGTTGAATAAATAAAAAATATTGTATCAGAAGCAATTGTAATTTACACATGATTTGTTAGAGCTCTTCTTGTCAAAATTCTAAGATCTAAAATTTTCAAGAGTAAATATTTTCTGCAATTATTATTTGTGAAAGTATTAAAAATCTTATGATGTCGCCACTTATATCAATCATTTTCAAGAAAATACAAATGTCCAAATAAGCATAAACCGATCAAACGTAGCAAATAATATTATTTTTTTAATAATTATACTTTGATATCCTACTGTTAAAGTCTTTTTTTCATACTTTGATAATATATGCAGATTAGTTAAATTCTTAAACACTGAATGTCTAGTCTTCCATCAAATGTGTGTATATTACTTGCCATAATTTTATCCAAACAGCTACTAAATTCTAGTTTCATAAATTAGAAATCAAGCGTTTTCTCTTAACGTGAAAATTAATTTTAATTCTAGAAATGATTTTAAGCTCATTTTCAGTAAAATTTCTATTAAATTCTTTTTTTAATATAAAGGATATAAAATAGATAAAAATTTTATTTGCCGCCTAATTAATTATTAATTAAAAATTAATTCACCTACTTTAAAGTTGAAATTGAAATAAGTCACGAATAATTTTTATAAAAAAACAACTGATTCTCAATGACAAAAATTCGACTTTGTGAAATGACTAAAAAAGACAGTTCTCTTTTATATTTGTGCAACTAATCGGAAAAGCATCATTGGTAATCATGTAAATGAATAACAATGATAGAAGAGGAAATCCAAGTCAGAACAGAAACACTCACCGTGAGGAGAAACGAGAAAAATCATTCGAATTCCATTTCAACGAAGAGAGAGAAAACCTGTGACCATCTTCGTCCGAGGTGCAAAGTCATTCTAAACATGCACGATTTTTCCATCTCTTCAGCTGAAGTAAGGCAGAAGGGCATCAGAGCGAAGTAGGCCATTCTCTCGACTGGCATATCGAGCGAAATAACAATCAACAAAAAAGAAATTCGAGGCCAGCCGCCCGCCATTTGTATCTATTGCAATGGATTAAGGATGGGACTTCTTTAAGTGGTTGGTGTTGGTACAAGTAGAGAAAGGGCTAAATGGTGTCGGACAGATGGGATAACTGAAACAAATCAACGCAGAAGCGGCCACGCTGCGGGTAACCCGGAAATCACTACTGAATAAACACTCATTTATAAATAGCACATTTGCGTTAGTTTTTAATAATACAAAAACGCTTGTTTCCGTATTGTAGCATATCATTTATACACTCTACAATTACTGATTCCTGTTATGTTGAATGCAGAATGTACCATAGGCTAAGTAAAAGTAAATTTAACAATGTTTACACATCCATATCACGAAATATTAATCTACTTAATGGACAATAAAGGTTCTTTGACAAAGGGGGGAACTATCTATTATGTGCTGGCCTTTTAAATGTGTGATATTATAAAAAAATGCAAACAGATCACGGTTAATTAACAAGATTTAAAGTAGGGGTTCTTGAACTCTCTTGTGCTACGAAACCCTTCCGGACGGTGTGTATTTAAAATTAAATGTATTAAGGAAAATTATTGAATTTCTGTAATGAGATATTTTTTCCCTCCTGCCAGCTGCCTCCGTGGTGTAACGGTAGCACACTCCGCGCGTATTCGAGAGGTCCAGGTTCGAATACAGGTGAGAGCATTGCTCATTTTTCTCGTCTCGCACATAAAAAGAAAATCCGAATACAGTGGAAATAAAAAAAAGGTGGTGAACAATACTCGCCACCTCCAGGATTTGGCGACTGGCTCCCTTAATCCCCCAGTCGCCCTTTTAAATGTTTTTCCCCCCTCCTGCCAGCATGCCTTCATGGTGTAGAGGTAGCACACTCGGCGCATATTCGAGAGGTCCAGGTTCGAGTCATGGCGAGGTCATTGCTCATTTTTAAGTACTCCTGCTTCAAAATAATTTAATGATTATCTGTATTATTTAATCTGTTGCTAATTTCTACTAAAATGTAATATCAGGAGGAAAGAAAACAAGAAATTAGTAGTGATATATATATATATATATATGAGGAAATATTTCTAACTATAATTTTCAATAATCCCTAAGTTCTCTATTTTAATTTAGCTGTACCTCATTTCTGTCCTAAAACTCTTACTACTTATGTAATAAATCTCTAAACTGCAGCATTTCAGAATTAATCTAAGCCATGTGATTCTTGCATAACGCTAATGACGCAGGTACTTGACAAGAATACTTTCACTTTGGGAACTGAAACTTTTTATTAACAGTCAGCGAGGAAACTGTGAAGTGAAACCGAAGTAGATCTTCAAGAATAAAGAAAGCGCTCTGTGGAGGCATCCTTTCCTAGCTTTAGCGTGCTTTATCATAACGCAAATAATCCAATCTAATCTCTCTAATCTCTTGATCTTTCAAATACCAAAACAATTGTTAATATTAAATTTCTTTAATAAAGCAAATTTTGCAATTCGCATTTAATGTAAAACAAATTTAAAATGCAGTTTTTTTTTAATATACCTAAATTTGTTAAAAAAAAAGGTATAAAGTTTAGTAAATGAAATGCTTAATAAAATCTCTTGAATTTCGAGTTTCATAGATTCAACACAATTTGAAAAGAAAATATACTCGAATAACAATTCAAAATTGAATTGACATGAAAATGATAAAAATAACGTAAATAAGGAAATATAAGAAAATTTAAAAACAAGGTAATAAATCACAATCGTAGTAAGAAAAGACAGATAAAATAATACGTAATTCTAATCAAATGTTAAAAGTCATTAAGAGTGAAACTCAAGTGCAAGTGCATCGCTATACCTAATAAACCGTGAAATTCGGTATCTTAAGTAACCGATCAACCAGACTGTTCATTGTTGAAGAAAATTGCTTTTAAATTTCTTTAAATTTTAACCAATGACCTATTTAAACACTTTCTCGTTGTCTTTAGACAATGCGTAATCTCTCTTTCAAGTAACGTGCTTTTGATCTCGATCACAGCAATTTGTTGTGTTTTAATATTAAAGTAAGTAGTAATGATTTTCCATCATTCAAATGCTTTTAATCTTAACCTAAAAAATCTGATGTATACATCACATGACTTCCTTGTACGGAATATTAAATTATACGCATTTTTTCTTGCATTTTATTTAAACTTATTAGATTGAATTAAACCTACTTCGCCGACAGCGCATAAACCACAATAGAATAAATGCATTCTTTAAAATTCACTTTGTTTACCATAGCGACACTCTGGCGCTAAGTTTACGTAACAGTATTATATTTCATTCATATTATAACTCAGAATGCACAAAATGTATATCATTTGAAGAATTATCTAATCGTTGCCACATGTTGTATTCAAATACTATAATAAAGCTAGAACTATGTATAAAAGAAATTAAGAAAACAAAACAAAAAAGAAACAGTTTTTCACAGACGATTGAGTATTTCTCATTTAACTAATTCAGTTCTTACTTCGCGAGAAGGCAAAAATACATAAAAACTCAAAATATCTATATTAAAAATTACGAAGTAAATTTCAAACCCTTATTTCCTCGAAAAAATTCCAGAAAGAATTAAGCATGATTTAATTGGCAATAATAAATGAATGCGTTATCTTTGTTGTTGCGAAGCTAAGTTTCTCTAGATTGGCAACAAATCCACTAGTCTCCTGTTTCAAATGTAAACATTAATGGCCGCCATTAAAACAGGCTTAGCAGCAATTAAACAACTTTAAAATTAAGACACAATAACACGCCGAATAAATACTGATTCAGAAGTCAAACAACAAAAATCAGCGTTAATTCACAAAATTTTCACAGGACTAGTTTCGATGGTTTTACCGAACCATCATCTTCAGCTGCAAAACCGCAAATGAACAAGATAGGAAATAATGTTTAGATAAGATAAGAAAGCCTGGACAAGAATAAGCAAGTGGCGCCATCTGTTGGCGAAACCAGAACTAAAACATAATTTCTCTAAAGCGAAGGCAAATTTGGATTGGAATTAGGATCGTTAACTAGAACAGAAAGATTTTTATGAATGTGAAATGCCTCTAGAAAATCCAGTTCTTCCAATTGGAAGATGTTTTTTGAATAATTTTGGCAGCAGAAAGATTGAAAGTGTGATTTTCGGACCAACAATGTTGAGCAACAGAAGACTTTTGTGTTTCCTTTTTTCTAACATATGCCTCATGTTCTTTGACGCGAAATTTTAAGGCTCTCTTAGTTTGGCCAATGTAAATTAAACCGCACTGGCAAGGAATCCTATAAATACCCCAGGAATTCATATCCGGAATGGGGTCCTTGAGTATAGAAGTTGGAATTTTATTGATGGGAGAGTAAACAACCCGAAAGTTAAATTTCTGCAAAAATATGTGCAACTTTATAGCTAATTGATGGAAAGAAGGGAATGACAACAGAATTTTTATAATCTCCTAAAATAAGAGTGTGGCTTTTAGTGTGTTGAGATGAGATCACTAAATTATTTAAAAGCAATAGCTATTGACAGGGGCTTTTCACCCAACATTATTAATCAAGCAGTTAAAAAATTCTCATCTCAACACACTAAAAGCCACACTCTTATTTTAGGAGATTATAAAAATTCTGTTGTCATTCCCTTCTTTCCATCAATTAGCTATAAAGTTGCACATATTTTGCAGAAATTTAACTTTCGGGTTGTTTACTCTCCCATCAATAAAATTCCAACTTCTATACTCAAGGACCCCATTCCGGATATGAATTCCTGGGGTATTTATAGGATTCCTTGCCAGTGCGGTTTAATTTACATTGGCCAAACTAAGAGAGCCTTAAAATTTCCCGTCAAAGAACATGAGGCATATGTTAGAAAAAAAGGAAACACAAAAGTCTTCTGTTGCTCAACATTGTTGGTCCGAAAATCACACTTTCAATTTTTCTGCTGCCAAAATTATTCAAAAAAAATCTTCCATTGGAGAACTGGATTTTCTAGAGGCATTTCACATTCATAAAAATCTTTCTGTTCTAGTTAACGATCCTAATTCCAATCCAAATTTGCCTTCGGCTTTTAGAGAAATTATGTTTTAGTTCTGGTTTCGCCAACAGATGGCGCCACTTGCTTATTCTTGTCCAGGCTTTCTTATCTTATCTAAACATTATTTCCTATCTTGTTCATTTGCGGTTTTGCAGCTGAAGATGATGGTTCGGTAAAACCATCGAAACTAGTCCTGTGAAAATTCTGTGAATTAACGCTGATTTTTGTTGTTTGACTTCTGAATCAACTTTAAAATTGCTGATAATTCTAAAAATATTGCACACAGATTTACCTTAACCGGAAGATAAAAACAATATAATTCAATCATTTTTAAAGAAAAAAATGTACAATTTACAAACGTATAAGTGTAAAGAAACTGAGATCACTGAGCCGGGTAATAGAGTGGATATATATATAAATATATTTATATACGTTTGGTGCGGCTGACTGCAACCAAAATACGAGTTGCACATCTACATGTTAAAATTTCAACGTTCTGAGGCTACTCGTTTTTGAGTTATGCGAGATACGTACGTACGCACGAACGTACGTACATACGTTCGTACAGACGCCACGAAAAATTCTCTTCAGAATTAATTTTTTTAAAGCAGTTTTATAATTTTTTGAAGGAAAAAGAGTATTTATTCTGTCCTTACGTACAGATATCACGCAAAAAAACATCGTTTAAATTGCATTCGATAGCGGTCAAAATGGATATTTTCGTTGAAATATGCTGCCTGAAATTATTACGATTATAATACTTCCTTTATCCTTCGTACAAGGAAGTAAAAACTAACTAAACTTTTCAAGTTATAATTTTGGAAAGTTTTTAGTTTTAATGAAGTCCAAAAGAAGCATTCAATATGGAAAGAAAGCGACTGTTGAAATTCCAGTGAGCCCTCAGGATCATTAGAATCATTTTCCAGCAGCCCCGATTGCTTTACTCTTAATTTTCAGGAAAGAATTTAATATTCTACGTCCAGAGTTCATCTATATTAACTCTTGAAATAACCATCGCTCTCCTTACCTTTATTTTGACTGTAAAAGATTCTGAAATAATGTAAA